ACTTGGTTGAAGATACTGGAAGACGTTTCGTCCCTCTTCTTCAGTTCCTTCAGATGTAAACACATCTCTTACATCTGAAGGACAGAGGACACTCGTTTGAGGACCACCAGGTGCACATTTTAGACAGAGAAGATGGATGGTTTGAAAGAGGTGTCAAGGAAGCCATCTACACCAGGGTTGAGAAGCCGTCATTGAACAGGGGAGGGGGTCTACGCCACCACTTATCCCCCACTTACAATGCTGTCCTTTCATCACTTCCCAGGAAACTCAACAAACGTAACCTATTGGCCTCAGGTGAAGATACCAACGATGGTCGTTCAGTCTTAGCCACAGGTAGTCTTAACGACTGTAACGACTGTCGTCACAGCAACAAGGAACACTAACGAACCAGTGGTATTGATGACCCGGGCCAACGACCCCACTGAGGTTAAATAGCTGAGTTTCCCTGCCAGTCAGTCAGAACTGAAGAAGTCCTTTGGATGAGGGACGAAACGTCTTCCAGTATCTTCAACCAAGTCCAGTTGCCATTGATTTTAACCTTCGTTGTATAACTATGACCTGGATGACTGAGAATCTTCATAGACATCCTATAAATGATTTTAAAACAACCTGGCAGTTAATATGCACACTTCAATATGTTTGTTTAGTCATGTCATCTCAATATATAACAATATTATCGCACACTGAATATTTTCTTCATACCATACAAGCCTAGCCTACCTCATGCCCGTTGGGTCTGGTCTTCCCAAATAACAGTCACCAAATAATACTAAAGTATCGTTAAGCAGTCTCAATAAGGGTTTCAATGAAAATGAACGATCCCCATCGTTAATGTGTGTAAGCTAGGTCTGCATGCTGACGGCTAATAAGCTATGATAGCTTCCACCATGTTGGACTCTCCAGCTGTCCGTCCAGTCAGAGCTCACCTCCATCAGGTTCGCTGAAGTCAGCGAGTCAGAAGAGACGCTAACGCTAACTGCTCAACATGATCGTAGCTGTCATCGACTTCACACAGGTAACAGCTGATCAGGACTCCCCTCTGCAGAACCTTTAGTCTGGTTCTGATCCAGGTTGTGTTCAGTAAGCAGGTCTCTTTCCTGTCTCTTAGCTGTTGTGTCCCATGATGATGGGGAGCCTGATGTTCTGGAAGGGCTCTGTGCTCAACATCTTCAGTGAGACACTCTCAGAGGACACCTGTCCTCGCTTCTTATCCTTGTGTCCACAGTTTTATTCTCTTGGCCCAATCCCAATGTCCACCCTCACAGACTTTGAGTCGCGTTCCGTGAGGGCTTAGGGCTCACTAGCAAATCGTCAAGTGCGCAAGGGATCTCTCGCGGACATTTTGAGCCCTTTTTAGACCCTTTTCGTAAGTCTGCATTTCTGCAGACTTTGGCTGAAGAAACTGCCCACAGTTCATAGCGGTATGACGTGAAACACGGGGGTTTCCAGGGGAAGCCCGGAAGCGAGAGAAATATCACGGCAAATCTGCCTTATAAGAGAAGAAGAAAACAGTAAAACAACAAGCATCGACACCTACGCTGATATTAAAATTGTTGAAAGTTTTCTTAACTTAAGATGGTGCATAGAACACATGAAGTAATGCAATCACCTTATTACACACTTAGTTTATTCAACTACTTATTTTAGTTTTTGCTTAATGATGCTGTTTGACCGACAATAGTGTATTGATTAATTACAAATATATATTGACATTTACCTCTGCTCCACTCTGTAGGTCAAGAGCCTGCAGGACTTAAAAAACAGGCAAAAACATAAAATAAAACGTGTGCAATGTGTTTCAGCATCGTCAAGGTAACGTGATAAAGTGGCAAAGGGCTGTCCCGTTCCTGTTCACAGTATTTGGAGCCCTTGCAGCCTCTTAAACTCAATCACTTTCCAAGTGACGTCAGTAAAGTCTGTGAGGGCTTAGGGCTTATGGCTTAGGGGGGACATTGGGATTGGGCCCTAGACTGAGAGACCAGTACAGCACCTGGCAGCTTTTCCTGGCTCACAGCATCCCCCTGGAGACCATCATCCCCATCCTGCAGCACCTTAAATATAAAGGTGAGTGGTGTCCAGGAAAGGGTCCCTGTCCTCCAATCTGATCAGTCCTTTGTTTTTGAATTGATAGAAAACCCGGAGGCCTGCTTCACAGAGAGAAGTACGACAGGAACACACCTGGACACTCGTCTTGGAGACTCCTGGGTCTCTGTCTGCGTCCCAGGCCCAGGGAGGAGATGGTGAAGATGGTCCTGAGTCGTCCCTGTCACCCCGAGGACCAGTTCACCACCAGCATCCTGAGACACTGGTCAATCACCATCAACAATCAACCAGCCCCGCAAGAGACAGAGGTGAGGACAGACTGAGTGGGACAGGTGAGGACTGTCTCTGGGTACCTGTTGTGTCTCTGTCCTCAGTCTTCACAGTTCCAGCAGTAAACTGGCTAAGCTCACCCTGGAACAGATCCTGGAGCTCGTGGACAACCTGAAGCAGCTTTGTGTCTTCACCAAGAAGGAACCTCCAGGTTTGAAAAGTGAAGCCTCAAATCTGCATTCTCTCTAACAGCCAGCAGGGGGCGACTCCACTGGATCACATATGGTCTCAGTCCCTAGTTTCAAGTATTCTTCAACACAGCATGATCATTTAGTAAATTATGGTCACATTTAGAGGAAAATAGACCAGAAAGCAGATGACGAGCCTTTAGGGCGGGGTACCTTGTGATTGACAAGTCGCTATGTGTGACCCAAATATGGATGTTCAGGATGGAGCTGAACACCTCTTTCCTCTCCTCAGCTGTACAGGTAGGCTGGAATAAAATAGCTGCTTGTTACTTTATATAAATTGAACTAAAAGACGTTCTGTTAGATTCCAGTCTGAGGGGGAGATGTTTGTTAATCTGCTTCACTTCTCCAGCCGTTTGGGAACAGACTTTTGGTGATCCTTTTGAGATTCACTGTCACTGTCTGTCCCTTGGACAATCAAACACTCTGAGACCCTGTTACGACCTGGCTCATGTGGGCAAATAAGATGACATAAACCAGATAGATTTGGTAAAGAAAAGTTATTTATAGGGTAAGGTTGACACGCAGTAAACTGTAACAGACAAAGGGCCCATTGGATGCTCCTTAAACCAATGAAAACAACATAACCAAAAAGAAATCTCTACTGTGAGAGATGCAGAGCTTAACCTACACAAGGTAGCGAAAACAAATTCAAAACCAAAACACAAAGTGCAGCACCTTTAGACCTATTGAAACTAACACAAAACAGCTACACAGATGTAGCGAAATCAGTTTAAAGCTAAACCTGGGCCCTATTTTCATGAACAAGTTTAACTTCAATTATCTCAAAATAACACACTGGTGTTTCACAGTATTCTCAGACAAACTGACACAGCGAGGCGAGGCAAACTAATCAATGAAAATCACAGCTGCCTCAAGTCACAAGCACACCCTGTTTAGCTGAAGTCGCTGTCAATTGCCTTCACTCGATTGGAGGAATTCCCCACCGGCTGTGCTAATCTTCATCGAACCCAGACAGTAGGAGGGGTCAACGTCATCTGGCCCAATCCTCGGCAGGCAATCCCACCACTCATTAGCGTACACCTTCACACAGAACATAGACGGCTACTAACGTACAGGGGCCTTAACAGACCTCGCGATAAAAGAGGTGGTATTATGCTCATTTTCAGGTTCAAAATCTTAATTAGGGGTTGTACCAGAACAGGTTTACAAATTTTCAAAAAACACCATATTTTTTCTCATACTGCACATTGCTGTAGCTCCTCTTTTTATCCTATGTGTTGTACGCTCCGCTCTTGGTACAGAGTGATGCATCTTACTCGTACAAAATCTTTGTTGGGAGTTGCACATGCGCAGTACCCTGGTAAGGACTACTAGCCAATCAGAAGCAGAGAATGGTGGGTCGTAAGAAACAAGGTAGTGTGATCCAAAATCCTAAAATATAAAACTTTCTGTTGCTGGCCTCTGTCTGGTGCACGCGATGATGATGCAGTGAATAGTGAATATTGTCTCTTACCAATCAGCAGTCTGTTGTGTTTTTATGTTACATTTTAGTATCCCTTAGCTGACTTGGAACCTGGAAGGAGGTGAGGTGATATGAAAAAAAGTACCTGGAAGCAGGTACAAGTGCAAATTTTATTTTGCTCAAGAGATTCAAGTTATCACTTAACACCAAGAAATCTCATCAAGAATCTGGAAATGGAAAATATTTAACATTATTGCTAAAAAGAATGAAAACAAATTGATTATCAAAATTGTTGCTGGTTAATTATCTGGTCAAGCAGTCAGTTACTTTGTCTAATCAGCTGTATGCAAGATGTGCCTTATTTTGTGTCTGTTAAATGTAGAAATGACAGATGTGTGAAGATGACACTAATAAAGGGAACTTGAATTGTAGTAATGGAGTTTTATTCACATTTTTCAGGACTACAATCTGAAAATGGACATTTTGTAAATTTCAAGTTGACTAGTAGTAATTTTGTTGAGTAAGTACAATACTATTTAGGATAAGTTGGGCACAATTACTTTTTACAATTATTCATTGAGTAAAGAATAAGTGGAATTTAATTTAATTTTAATCAATGTAATTTTGTATGCTGAGAATTAAAAAAAAAAAGTATTATATTTAAGTTAAGGTTTACTCAAATATTATTACCACTACTACAAAAGTTTGAGGTAATCAGTTTCCACAAATATTTTGAGTATTCTTAATAAACCTATTTGTGTTTACAGTGTAGTCAATGAGGTCCAGCACAAGCCTGATGTTGTTTTATGTGCCTTTATAAACCCGGTTTGGTTTTCATCAGTAATTTGGTCAAATACAGCCTTTAATCTTTTGGCAAAAACCAGAGCTAGGACTCTGTAATCCTTATTAAGAAGGCAAATTGGCCGCCAGTTGCCAAACTTGCCTCGATGATGGAGAAACTGCTTTACTGCTTTACATCACAGTGTACGTGCGTCCCTGCGCAGTGACGTCTCTCTCCCAGAATGCAGTCTGGTAAACAGACATGGAAGCACCAGGTGAAGACCTCCACAGAGGCTGAGCGCCGCACTCGCTCCTTCCCACCGTCTTCTGTCTACTTCGTCCAGTGCATCCAGTTGAATTATACCTGCCCGGTGTCACGTTTGCGTCTCCAGCACCCAGAGCCTTGGTAAGAGTGAAGTTGTTGTCGATCCGTGACGACTGCTAATGACTTCTGCTGTGCTGTCAGGCTCCTGCCAGCTTGCTCGCTAACGCTGGTCATGGCTGGCTACAGGCTGCAGCTAGCAGGCTAATGTAGCCGCCGCTGCTCTCCAGTAACGCTTGTACCAGTCACAGACCCACACTGGATGGAGCCTGTTTTCATATCACAACTCCTGATAGACACCATGTCTGCTTTTTCACACATCGTGTTTACGATTAACGCTTTCTTTATCTTTTCTATTTGTGGAAACGATGTTAATGTATGGTAGTGTGTAGAAGAGGTGGAAGCGACGCAAGCCAATAAAACTGCTAGCTCGTGTTAGCTAGCTAACTAAGTTGTGCACCTGCTTTTCAATGACAAGGTTTTCGTTTCTAAAGAAATGGCATAATGCTATATTTTGCCCATCATAGCCTTTGACATAGTGTCTTCGCAGAGCCCAAACCACGATTAAAGTCAGCCTAAGCTGGGTACTGACGTGTGTGTGTGTGTGTGTGTGTGTGTATTGCAATGTAGCAGACTGTTTGGAAGAACAGTGTTACGGTGTAAGTACATTCACTTTGATGTCAGTTTCATAGTGCGTGTAGAGATGCATAAGGGCTGGGTGACAGTTCAACACAATCTTTTGTTGACTTTCAGTTGAATATAATGAAATCATGTTATGGTTGTACGACATTCGGTCAATTTCTATGAACAGCAGACCAGAGCTCATTGCATTGAATGCCAGTTGGTTATTTTATGTGACTTTTGCACACGTATATACTATATAAAGAATATGCAGGACACAACGCAGCCATTGTCTACATTTGTATGACTACAGAACAGCCACCATTCAACAATCCTAAAAGCCCTCTATGGGTTTGATGTGTTATATCAGCTTCTGTTACAAAACTGTCAAATCATATAGGCAGTGCAGTTGGTTAGGATTTGGATCCCAATATACTGAAAGGCACAATTTGAAGATGGAACTGGCTGTAATGTACATTTGGTAGCAGAATGTGGTATTATTAATGTTATTAGTTAAATCTGTGTTTGCCAAGTCAGAATGTGTGCCATGACACAGATGTGCTGGTAACCCTCTGGGTACATAACGTAACTTCAGGGTAGCCAGAAAGAACTATGGCTGAGCAGGACGTTTGACCAGTGAGAAAGTTAGAGGTGGACCTGAGTTTGTGGAAGTGATTAATTGATTAATAGTACTCTTTAGTGGTATGACAGCAATTATCTGACCTTTCACCCAATTAACAAATTAAAGACAAAGCTCAGGGCTCCAGTTTACTTATAAGCATGGATTGTGATCTACACTACCTGAGCTTCTCTGAGAGCACCAGTCCCCTGGTTTAAGGATATAGTACTATACAGTTGCAGTTATTGGATCCCATAAATATGTCATTATTTTACATAACGTTTCTTTAAAAATACCTCATTCAGAGAATGCACTTGTATAGTGAATGGCATTAGTAATGGCTACATGTAGCTTAGGTTTGCCAGTGCCAGCCTTCCTGACATTGTGCGTGCTGGCTCACTGACATGGCTTACTGGCACGCCATCATTAAACCATGATTGATGTTATTGGTTACACCTGAGCTTTACTTTAACAGTATAAGTCAAAATGTCTGCTGTGAAGAAGTTCAACAATATTTCCTGACTTACACTTAAAGGACCAGTGTGTAAGACTTAGGGGGATCTATTAGCAGAATATGGCAGAAATGAATATAATATTCATAAGTATGTTTTCTTAATCTATAATCACCTGAAAATAGAAATCGTTGCCTTTCCATTACCTTAGAAGGAGCCCTTTTATATCTACAGAGGGAACGGGCCCTATTCCAGTAGTAGGGCTCCACACTAACTTTTCCACTGGTAGCACTGGTGAGACTAACTTTCTCAGTTAATCGCACCACACATGATTTGGTCGCACCAGCAGGTATTGATCAATGACCACTGGTAAGAAGTGTGGAAGTGCTCAGTGTTTAGGGAATGATGCATCAGTCTCTGCAAGTTTCGTGTTCCTTTCTGTTGTTGTGCAACTTCAAAATGTCAAGCTAAAACTGTGTTGACCCGGTAACAAGTTTAGAGTTGACTGCAAAGTATGGGCCACATTGCCTACAATTTAAACATAGCAGAGCATTCCCCTCCTACTGTAACCATCTGATCCCCATCATGGTTCTGACTAAATCTATATCTGTCCACTGCAGAGGCTCTCTCCACAACCTGGAGGAGGAACTAGTATAAGTGCATGAATTTGTATAATTGAGGTTGTATAGTTAAAATGTTAATTTAATAATATACTGTTAGTATAATTTTAATATATTAATTATATAATGCTACTATATTGATTATAATTATATATATATGAGTATTCTATATAGCTTACCACTAGTAAAATATGAATTCCATTTACAGCAGATTTATTTTTGTGGATTTATTTTTGTTTATTTTTGGTGGGTTTTTATACATTAAATGCTTGTGCAAAAAAATGTTACATACATGGTGATTGAGTTAGTCTGTAATTAGTTAAATGATGCTAAGTGATAACTTGTCAATGATTATAACATCAGTGCATGCAGAACAATCAGTTCAACATTTGAAAATTTGCTGTAGCAAGTCAACACTTTTAATGTCCTGCCTCATCCAGGCTGTGATTGGTTGATCGCAGAGCACATCGACATTATGAAAAGTTGAATGTTCAAAAAGAAGGCATCAGATGGAGCTAAATGGCCAGCTAGCCAAACACGAACTTTCCTTATCTTCTGCCTATTGTCTTTTTTCTCACCGTTTCAACTGCCGCCGCATCTCTCTCGTTGTTTTTGTAAAACGAGCTGCTCAAGCGCCGCAGAGCGATTTCTCCCAAAGATCGTGGCAGCCAGTCAGACTATGTTTTGAATGATTTCATGCTGCGTTCCATTTACCTCGGAGGTCGAAGCTGGGAATGACATCACACCCGAGTTGACGGTGTTCCACTTAACAAGTTGGAAAACCTCGTTTGGCCAGCTGTAGTTTACAACTAGCCAGGTTAGCTATTGATGCGCTGGTTGATTTTAAAAGAAAAAGAAAAAAACTGTTGATACCCGACAGCCATCGATTTAAAAAAAAAAAAAAAAAAAAAAAAACAGCGCCGTTCTCAAACACGGAAGGCTGCCTGGCTTGCTTTATTTGAAGTATAATGCACAAATTCACCTCTTGATTACTGTATATCATCATTATATAACCCCCCCGGGCCCACAGCCAAATTCAAACCATGTAAAAACCACAGAAATATGTTGTCTATATGCAATCTACTCCGCCCAAATCCTTCCATTGTCACAATCTTTCCCGAGTATACAACCAGACCAGCCATATAAAGGCTTATGTATATTACTATCTTTATCTCTAAAGTGCTCATTCATACAGCAGCCTAACGTCCATATCCATGAGTAAAATATTAATATCAGATTTGCAATAATTATATTGAAGTAATAAGCTTGATACACTATATGAATAAACACACTCTTATTAAAATTCAACTAATTTAATAATAATCTGGATCAAGCCACCAAGTTCTTTAAGAACTCCAGCACAGAGAGAGGTACAAAGAAATAAACACATGTAAACGCAGCAGTTTGGCAGGTCTGAACGCAGAATGGGCCACATCAGGTCCGGATTCTGCAGACAGAGAAACACATATGGGCACATCGCTCTCAAACACTGCAGGTTGTTCACCAGTCACGAGCTGTGAAACAACAGCACAGCTCTGTTGGTAAATAAAAAGGAAAAGTTACGTTGCGTTCTCTGGCGGACCTGGATCAGCTGTTAGCTGTAAACAAACCACAGGGCTAACGCTAACGTTGCTACGTGGCTGTGTTTTAATGGTTTAATGTCCGGGTCTGTTTGTTTTGGAGAGGAGACGGACGTCCTCTGAGGTAATTCGGCTCCCGGTAGAACTCTGTCAGGGCTCTGAAGTGGACCCAGAACAACTCTCATCAGCTGTTAGCTGTAATGTTAAACACTAGCAGGACTGAATTTACGGTGCGGCTGTGTTAAAACTATAACTTAGCACAACATAACTGCACTGTAATAATGTTATGCTCTATTAAATGTCACATAATTAACAAAATAGCTAAATAATATCAGTCCAGTGACTGTTACCTGACAGCCGACCTGCCTCTCATTCTCCGGCGCTGGCAGTCATTCAGCCTGCAGAATGAATGAAAGACTGAGGAGGACCAATGTGAGCGGTGATCGAGTTGTCACGTGACAAATGATCGACTCAAACCTAGAGACCCACAGTTGAGAGTCGTGAACTAATAAATTCTGTTTCCTGTGCTGACGGAGCCCATGCAGCTGCCGTGTGACGAGTGAATGTAAGAGTCCAAGATCCTTCACGCATGCGTGTAAAGGAACGAATCACTCACTGAGACAACCCGTTCCTCCCGAGTCATATACACGATTAGGTCTTATGAACGAAACGTTGATTGAACGACACAACACTAGCTCGCGTTGCTTTTCAGGGGCATTTGCGAGTAAAGTAGTTGCGCTGTAGAGCCGTGCTAATGATCAGCTTGCACTCGCACAAAATCAGACCACGTGAAATTTTTACTCGCACACAAAAAAAGTCACAGTCTGGAGCCCTGAGTAGCCCAGAACGGACAAACCAAAGACTGGCTCTAGAGAGGGCCTTTAACGAATTTCGCGGCCACTGTAGGTTCTCCTCAAGCAGGAAGCTTCCGGTCAAAGAACTGAGAAAATAAATTATGGCCCCATTTATAGGAAAATGGACCATAAAGCAGAGTATGCTTCAGGGCGGGATTATCTGTGATTGACAAGGCGTTACCATGGCGACCTGTCAGTCAGGCTACAGTGACTCGTACCCACGGCACTGTGTAAATTTAACCACTGTCGAAAAAGCTTGTTAGGAGTTGGCTGTTCTCTGGTGAGTTCATTTAGTTTTAAGCCTGTTGTTCGCTAGCAAAATTGTCAGCCCTGTTAAAATGACAGTTAACATGAACTACAGATGCACCTAGTTAAGCAAGCTAGCTAGCTCCGCACACAAGGGACAGACGAGACGACAGACGCCGCTAGATGCAACTAAATCCTAGACACTGGTCCTTTAAGAAATGCAGTTGAGTTTGAAGTTGGTTCATTCTGTGCTGGGCAGTAATAGTTTATATGCAAAGAAAGTAATAGACTATAGCAAAAGCTTTTGACAAGCAACAAAGTATTATGCAAATTTAAATAAATCTAAAATACCTCATTGTAATTCATACACACCAGTTATCATTGTATGGCTTTGTGTTTCACTTTATCAAGTTATTTTCTACCTCCTATGAATATATTACATTCATGGATTTGGAAGTGGATTTCATTTTTATCAATCATTAACAATACAGGCGATATACACGTTAGCAAATAACCTTGCTAGTATCAGCACTTTAGTTTATGTCACCACATGAATCATATTCATGCAATTATAGGTCTTCTGAGTTAAGACAACAAAAACAATGATAGTTCTCTGGTTTTAAAAGGGATTACTGTGGGGCTGGAGAGGGTGGTTAGGGATGGTGCTTAATGAATTGGATTACTGCACAGTGGTGAAGAACTCCATGGCCAAAGGAGGACAGTGTTACCTTCCAGACATAGTCTTATAATTCCATGTTTACTGATTAACTTAAACAGCAAACACTGACTAATACCGACTTGTCTTCTCCCAATGTGTGTGTGTGTGTGTGTGTGGGTTGGCTTGTGCGTGTCTCCAGACTCTTCTCTCCAGTGACTGTGGCAGCCAGCGATCACCCAAACTGATGAGGATCGTCTGATTGAGTTAAAAATAAGTTCCTTTTTTCTTATTTTGCCGAGGTAAGATCTCATAGATACTCATTACTCTGTATTATTGACAGTTCCTGTTTTCTGTAGCTATACAATATACATAGTTGTATAGTGCTGATAGATGTTTACATCTGTCCTTTATTGGAAATCTGTTTCGCAATTTTATACTAGTTGTTTTACTGCAAACAAACGACCCTGTCATTTCCCAAACTCTTATCTTGGTTCCAAGGCCTAACTGTGATGTTAACTTACTTTGGATTCTGAAGTTATTATATTATAAAACAAAAACATTGTTTTGAATGTTTGTGGATATTTGAAACTATGGGTTTAAAACAACAACACACCCATGTATATTGTAGGGCTGAATGGTTTTGGAAAAAAATATCTAATTGTGATATCATTTGCGATATTGGAGGGAATAATCACTTTTACATACGTATTCTCTTTTTTCATTGAAAACACATTTAACTGATTATGATGTGATTTTTACAAGGATCTGTACCGAACAAAGATGTTTTCTTAAGTCTGTAGAATATGGTGTTGGCCAGGACAACTCTGCAGCAAGACAAATATTTAGTTAACAACCCATTTTGCCTTTTAACAAACATTGCAGTAGGCCATATTGAGATTTCAATTAATTGTTCAGACCTAGTATATTCTACCGATTTAATGTTAGATTAATGTTCATGAATTTTCATTCCTGATTCAATGAGTATGCTAGAGGAAAGGTAGCTGGGCATCTAGCAAAAGGAAACGCCCTCTCTCTGGTGCTCTTACATTAATATACATTCACTTACTTGAAAAATAGATGCTGTGCAATCCAGTACAACAGTCCTTTAATGAATACTATTTCCACTTTGCTTAAATATTAATTAATATTCAATGAGGTGTTTCTTGTTGAGGCTACAGCAACCTACTGAGCCTATCGTTTGTACTGGTGCTGTATTGGGTTGCATGTATTGAAGGTTAGGTGTTTGTTTTATTGAATGTGCTTATTAGACTTTGTATAGATATTACAAATACCTTTCAATGAAATGTAATCCAATACAACACCGACACCTAGGGCTGTGCGATATCATATCCTGATATAGTTAATTTCAAATCCCAATACCAATATATACCGATATTAAAATTTCTTTGTAAATTCAATGAAATATTATTAACTCAATGTTTCTCTGCATCATAAAGGTGGGGTAAGCTACAGTGGGTACGGAAAGTATTCAGACCCCTTTAAATTTTTCACTCTTTGTTTCATTGCAGCCATTTTCCAAAAATCTAAAAAGTTCATTTTATTTCTCAGTAATGTACACTCAGCACCCCATCTTGACAGAAAAAAACAAATGTAGAAATTTTTGCAAATTTATTAAAAAAGAAAAACTGAAATATCACATGGTCATAAGTATTCAGACCCTTTGCTCAGTATTTAGTAGAATCACCCTTTTGATCTAATACAGCCATGAGTCGTTTTGGGAAAGATGCAACAAGTTTTTCACATCTGGATTTGGGTATCCTCTGCCATTCCTCCTTGCAGATCTCTCCAGTTCTGTCAGGTTGGATGGTAAACGTTGGTGGACAGCCATTTTCAGGTCTCTCCAGAGATGCTCAATTGGGTTTAAGTCAGGGCTCTGGCTGGGCCATTCAAGAACAGCCACGGAGTTGTTGTGAAGCCACTCCTTCGTTATTTTAGCGGTGTGCTTAGGGTCATTGTCTTGTTGGAAGGTAAACCTTCGGCCCAGTCTGAGGTCCAGAGCACTCTGGAAAAGGTTTTCGTCCAGGATATCCCTGTACTTGGCCGCATTCATCTTTCCCTCGATTGCAACCAGTCGTCCTGTCCCTGCAGCTGAAAAACACCCCCACAGCATGATGCTGCCACCACCATGCTTTACTGTTGAGACTGTATTGGACAGGTGATGAGCAGTGCCTGGTTTTCTCCACACATACCGCTTAGAATTAAGGCCAAAAAGTTCTATCTTGGTCTCATCAGACCAGAGGATCTTATTTATCACCATCTTGGAGTCCTTCAGGTGTTTTTTAGCAAACTCCATGCGGGCTTTCATGTGTCTTGCACTCAGGAGAGGCTTCCGTCGGGCCACTCTGCCATAAAGCCCCGACTGGTGGATTGCTGCAGTGATGGTTGACTTACTACAACTTTCTCCCATCTCCCGACTGCATCTCTGGAGCTCAGCCACAGTGACCTTTGGGTTCTTCTTTACCTCTCTCACCAAGGCTCTTCTCCCCCGATAGCTCAGTTTGGCCGGACGGCCAGCTCTAGGAAGGGTTCTGGTCGTCCCAAACGTCTTCCATTTGAGGATTATGGAGGCCACTGTGCTCTTAGGAACCTTAAGTGCAGCAGAAATTTTTTTGTAACCTTGGCCAGATCTGTGCCTTGCCACGATTCTGTCTCTGAGCGCTTCAGGCAGTTCCTTTGACCTCATGATTCTCATTTGCTCTGACATGCACTGTGAGCTGTAAGGTCTTATATAGACAGGTGTGTGGCTTTCCTAATCAAGTCCAATCAGTATAATCAAACACAGCTGGACTCAAATGAAGGTGTAGAACCATCTCAAGGATGATCAGAAGAAATAGACAGCACCTGAGTTAAATATGAGTGTCACGGCAAAGGGTCTGAATACTTATGACCATGTGATATTTCAGTTTTTCTTTTTTAATAAATTTGCAAAAATTTCTACATTTCTGTTTTTTTCTGTCAAGATGGGGTGCTGAGTGTACATTACTGAGAAATAAAATTAACTTTTTTGATTTTTGGAAAATGGCTGCAATGAAACAAAGAGTGAAAAATTTAAAGGGGTCTGAATACTTTCCGTACCCAGTGTATTCTGGAGAAATCCAACACCAGGACAAATACCAAATGTACAGTGAACAACAACACAGCATGTAATGTGACCAATGTTAGCTAAGTTATGGGTTAGCAAACTGTTGCTACTTGCTGCTGCAAAGTAAATATGAGAGGATGAGACGGCAGCTCCAGATAGCGATACAGCTCTCCTGCTGCTATAGCTATCATCACACATGTCTGGGTGAACTATAAAGTAAGCTGCATGTCCGTGGGCACATCATGGCTAAAACGGCTAGAATAGTGTTGCGTGGCTCGTCCAGACAATAGACTTCCTTCTTTGGTATTAAACTCCTCGTTTTAGCTTGCATGGTCTGAGTCCTCCTGTTCAGTATGATCCAGTTATGAGCAAACTTCACTCTCCTCCATGTTTGTTTATTCTTAATGCAAATTTCTTCCCTGCAACACAGGCAAGTGTGGAAGAATGGACCACAGTGAAATTAGTTTCAATTTGGATATTACTTTTACGTTGAATAGTCTACAGATGTCTGTTAAATATGCAACGTAAAACTAACTTCATCGTGGTGCAAAGCGTCAACACCTTGTAGTGGGGAATTTGCGACACAACAAAATAAACAATAGAGCATAATTTTCAACGACAGACGTTTTGCTATTGTCAAATCATAGATATCGTCATATCGCACAGCCCTACCACCACCGCAGTAAACATTTGTATTGGTCTGCCTCATATCGTACAGGGGTCTTTTATTTTTCTGATCATTAAATGTATATGATCAGTAGTGTGATGTTCAGTCGCTAGTGATTGGTTCATCCACTGGACACCATAATATGGAAAAAAAAAAAGTTACAAACTTTTGTTTGCATTTACTGGTAATGTCACTGCTTTTAATCACATTTGAGCAATGTAGAAGAGTGACTGTTGCTTAGATGATAGTGCTTGCCTAAAAAAGGCTATTGAGGAAATGTGATTTATACAGTAAGAGTCTCCATTGGACATTTTCACTTAGGGGTGGACTCACCTTTGTTGCCAGTAGTTTAGACATTAATGGCTATGTGATGTGTTATTTTGAGGGGACAGCAAGTTTACCATGTTACACAAGCTGTACATTCAAAACTTTACATTGTAGGAAAGTGTCATTTCTTCAGTGTTGTCACATGAAAAGATTTAATCAAATATTTACAACATTGTGAGGGGTGCACTCCCTTTTGTGAGATACTATATTAATGACAGAAAATTTACACATCTGGGCCCATCGCAGACTAAAAAAGCACTGCTACTCATAGAAATGGACAAACCAAAAAGTTTGCTCCACAGAGTCTTATAATTTTTTAGCAGTGGCTAAATGGGTAAGTTACACATTACAGTGAAAAAGGATTTGCTATACATGATGCCTCTGTCAATGTATTGTCATTGCGTGAAATATAATTGTGCCTGGCATGCTTGTCAAATAATTGATGTTGCACTGATGTGTATAGCACTGATTTGTTTGATATAGAGGTGCCATTCAAATCCCTGTAGGGTATTATGTGTTGACCCACTGTTTGCTCAATGTTATGTACCCTTTATTTGTGTAGTTTTTTTTTTTCAAAAGGGGAAAAAAAACAATGCACTATAAGTTGAAATGTATATAACCCCACCCCCACCCCACAAAAAAAGGAACAAACAGTATCAAGCATCATGCTTGTTATGTCTGCTCACCCAACTATTGTAGGTATCCTGAACGTAATATACTATATTCTACTGAGGTTCAACTCTGGTTGCCATCCACAGTGATTTGACCATTTTAACAGTTCCTACAGTAGCCAGTTCTCGAGTGTTCATATATTTTGAAACACTTTGATAAAATGGATCAGGTTGTGACTGAGATACAAATGTAATAAAGACCAAAGAACTGAGAGACACTGGCAACATCTTAAGGACAATTTCTTAATTTGTATTTCTAAATTAAGTGATGTTCTAAAGACAAAGCCAACTTTCCGAATTGTACACTTGAAACTAGCAACAAAGGGCCATGCTCAAGGCTCTTTGGGATACATGCCAAACGGGAATACATTCAACTTCGCTGCCATTTATTAGGAGGATTTTCTTCAGATATCCTTCATTCGATCTCAGGAAAACAGCACAGAAGGTTGCTTAAACTGTCCTATTTTTTCTGTCATACTGACAGATGGTTATGGTTTAAGAATTTTTTGATGATTTGAGATAGAAAAAGAACAGTTACATTCAACCACTAAATCATTAATATAAAATAGGAAGAACAGCACAGGATGAAGGCTTATAGCGATTATGCCATTTGGAAGGCAGGTCAGTGAGTGTATTACCTTCTCTCTTTACAAGAATACAAGTTTATTGAATGTTGTTTGTGGCTAGAAAACAGCAAGAGTTTCCATTTGTTTCTCAGCTTTCGTCAGTTGAATATTTGCATCACTGGGTTAGACCACAACCATTTCATTTTGAAAGTGAAAGTAAGGACAACTGTCTTTACACATCTGAAAAGTTTAGGGAACCACAAGTGAATCTGTTCAAGTCAGTCATAAATCTCATTAAGTGTTACATTATTCTGTTGTAGACATTTTGTTGAATTAACAGTAAACCTGAGTTATATAATTTGAGTTTGTCTTTATTATAATGGAGATCACTTATCTGTTAATATCATTCTCCTATATTCTTGTGTGTGAAGGCTCACATGAGAGTTAATATCTACAGGCAAAGCTCCTAGGACTCAGGGATAACAGGGATTTTTCTTTTTTTGGTATTGTAATTTCATAATTATGCAAAAATGTGAAGTTGAGTTCTGGTGTGCCTAGGGTTGTGCCCCGTGTGTGTGTGCGCAGATAGATTGAAAAAGACATATATATATATATATACTGTAGATAAAGATTTAAAATGTTTGCTTTTTCTTAGTACAGAAAGCAAGTAAAAAGTTGAATGTTTTGCCACATGAAAATATCTTAATAAATATATCACTGTATCGGTGTGTAACCAGGCATCCACTAGTGTAGACCAACACAGGTGTTTAGTAAGCTTACACTGCACAAGTCATTATTCAAGTCCTGTTTCATTGACCAAGACCTGCAGTAAAGTCAGTCATTTAATTCATTACTGTTTACAGTATTCGAAAATACAAGCAGCTATAGTGTACTTTGGAAGGACCACTGATATATGAATATATTTATGTTTTATGTATATTTCTTTAAATAAATTATATACTACAATAAATTGCTTTATATAGAGTGAACCTGAGTTTATACATGTGTATATATGCCATACTGTTTAACGTTAACCGCCAAACAGGTAAGCACTGCACGTAATACCGGGGTCCATAAACCTGCATATAAACTGCATGTATGTCATATATTGTATAAGCTTTGTACTTGTTGCTTGTCAAGTGGCCACACAGACAGACGAGTTATTTTATTTTTTGAGGGGCGGGTGCGGTGAAACAACACGCGCTTGGCCGTGTCAATCAGTGAGAGAGTCCTCCTATCCCGAGCGCTACCAACGCTGACTCTTGTGTTGTTACATTGTAGCGGAAAGAATGTCGGAAAGGGCCGAGGATGACGTCAGGGGGGAGCAGCGCCGAGCGGCCAGGCAGCAGCTGAAGCAGCAGCAGCAGATCCAGCGGGGAGAAGGCTCCACAGCAATGGCGACTGTTGCGGAGCGGAGATCCTTGCCTAGTCCAGAAATAATGCTGGGACAGCCTTGGAGCAACTGGGTCGACGCCGCCAAACTCCACGGCAACGACGGTGAGTTCCCCAGCGTCCCGAATGTGCGCGAGGAAGCGAGGTAGAGCGCGACAGTTGCCAGTCCTGTCCTTTTTTTTTTGGCCGATTGCATGCAGTTTTTGGTTGGAATATGAAGAAACGCTACTGGTAGCAACAGCACGGGCAGGCAAGCAAGTGCAACTATTTATTTGTCTGTGTGTCGGATCGCCTCATTTTCAGGTGCTGAATCGGAGGAAAGTTTCAAAGACTTCGGGAAAAATCGAGATGCCATGCGTTTGTGCAGAGAAGGTGAGTGTGTTTTTTTGAAATCTAGGGCCAAAGGTGTATTTTGATTCTGGGGGTTTACACACATACATACAACACTTTACGCGCGTCGTTCAGCAAAATGTAAATCTACTGTAAATCCTGCGCGTCATGACTTGACTGGACAACCGGATATGATAAGTGAAACATGTGTCTCTTATTCGTGTGGTAGTTGACATTTACATCTGTCCCTAAAATAACTTAACGGTGAACAACTTAGACTCGCTGCAGTTGGACATAGGCCCACACGTTGTAATGGCAATACTATATTCTGTTTGGAGAATTAATGGGACTTTATTGTTCTGCATCCACATTGCTGCCATTTTACATATGAAACCATCCACCATATTTCATGGCTCCTCTTATCTTAAAGACAACAGTAAGGTTTTGTTGACTCAACAGTGTTAAGATGGTACACATTTTGAAAGTTAATTAGTAGAAAGTAGTGTGATTTCTCAAAACGTGAAAATGGAAATGTTACTGTTGAAACAGTGGCTGGGGCTTTTTGTAAAAGCCCCTTTTTAGTCTGAGTTTTATTAAAATATAGTTGACGATATTGCCACATGCTGCTTCAACACAAAGTATAACGGGCAGTAATGTTTTTTTTACCACATATTTAGATATTGTAAGGAATTTGAACAAAATGCTTAATTTAAGACTTTGAAGTACCAACCAGCATGTCATACAAATTTCTGTTTTTTGTTTAAACTCTTAAAGCCATCAACATGGATTTTCTTTTTTGATAACAAAGTGATGTGCGATTATTTTCCTGCTACTAACTATGATGTTAGGTTCCTCTCAAAAGCTGAAACATACCATAGGTTTTGCTAATAGTTGTTGTTTTTTTGTTTTTTAAGGCTGACAGTTATTCATTCTATAATAGGCAGTAGCACGGAACTGTTCAGTCATGACAGAATAAAGAAAAAGGACACTATCTGACATAGGAGATAAAATCAACTATATCAGAATCATGCATCATCTGGCTTCTGAGCCACAGAGTGATGTTTCAGAGCAGTTTGTGCTGCAGTTTTATTTTTGGAAACACCTCGATTAGCGTTAGCTGTTTTGTCCTGCTGGCAGGCCTGGATTTAGAATGAGCCTCTCCACAAAGCTAAATTGTTATAACGATAAAACGTTGTTTAATTACAAATCAACAGTCGTGCACCAGGCTCACCAAGATCTAAGACTGACATCAGAACTAGCAATTTGACATGATGAGTAGAAGACTAACCTGTTCATTTTTACTCGGACTGCTCACCACATCGAATGACTGTAAAAGCGTACACTCACAAACATGGTATACTTTGTTTGCCTTTTATGCATTTTAGCAAAACAAACATAGCTAATTTTAATGACTTTGCAAAAATGTTATCTCTTACTCAAGGACACGAGGCATCGAATTTGACAGTTTACTGATTCAGGTGAGACCTGCTTTAGAAAACCTTTCCACACTGATTTGTCCCAACTTTGTGGATGCACACATCTTTTCAATCATGCTGTCTAATAATATATTTGCAGAAAAGAGTAAAGATGACTTTTGACTTTGAACACATGATTTTGGCCCACACTTATGATGTCATCAGCGTGGGTCCAGCTTTAGTGTCTGACTTTTTTTTCCCCTCTCCACATGCCACTGTAAAGGAAAGGGTTAATTGCAGGCTACTTCGCGGGGCACGTATCTAATGTTGCATTTGCATTGGACAACACTGTGGCCTGTTTGCAGACCCTAAAACCGCTGCACAGTGTCAACAGCAAATGTCCTAGAGGCTCCCAATGACAAGAAAAAGACCGCTTTCACGTTACATACAAAATATTTAAAATGCTGTGATATAGATGACCCTGCATACACTGAGCTGGTGGCTGACCTAAAGAGTTGTCCACTTTGTGCTGAAGAAATACTGGTGGCTGTTATTTTCTAAGGAAGCCGGAGAGCCAGACTGGTGATTTAAAATTCAATGTTGCGAGGTCACTTGACGTGCAACTGGCTTAAAACACGTCTCAGTCATGTAGCAGCGTCTGTCAGTGACTGTTGTTTGTGTCATGGAGCTGATCAGCGCATGCTGCTCGTGGCAGAAGTGTGTGTTCATAGAACATTATACTGTGTCTGTGTTTGTGTGTCGAGTAGGGGTATTACAAGTGGATGACTACACCTCTCCGCCGTGACTCACCACCAGATTCCTCCTGTGGTGTAACCGCCGTTCTGACACACACAGATTGTAAAAAAAAAAAAAAAGAATGTATGGCAATTAATGACTGGTGAATTCACTCCTCAGCTGTCTCGCTTTTTATACATTTTTACAGTCACTGTCAGGGAAGCTGGGAAATGTAGTGTCAGCCACAGGTCATATTCAGCCAGCATGTGTGCTGCTCACAGGCAGCCAGAGCTGCTCCTATTCCACCCAGATCATTCATCACTGCCATGGATGAGGATGCTGAAATTAACTGGACTCTCCTTCTCTTCCCCTGTCTCGTGCTCACAGGCTCTGTTTCTCATCCTCGAGCGCAGGTCCTCTGCTCACTCTCTTTGTCTCGCCGAGGCCTCGGCCTGCTTCCCTGCTCTTTCTCTCTCGTGTTTTTTCGTTGCCGTGCTCCTTTCTTGGTTTTGCTCGGTTGTTCTGTCTCTTCTTTGTCCATGGTGGCGACTTCCTTTCTCTCTCTCTCTCTCCTTTTCATCTACTACTTGCCCAAGAAGGAAATGGGAGATTGAGAATGGGGCAGACACAGTGGCGATAGACCACTTTTCAAGTCAGGCGGTACAGTTCAGTGGGTGCCAGCGCGGTGAATGCAGAGTGGCAAGGCGATCTAGCCGGTCTGCTTTTATAGTTGAGCAAGCCGTTTGGAGAACGCTCCAAGAGAACAACAGCAGCGGTTTGGGAATGAGTCTGGTTTGACCTTGCTATTGATCCAGCAAGGAAATGTGGTTCGCCTGTTGGACTCCGCAGTTCTTGGCCTGTTTCAATACAGGATGTGAGAGAAGGTGGAGTTTTAATGGAGAATACATGGGAAGTTATTGATTTCGCAAATATCTGTGTGCTCTCTCATTATAACTTCAGTTTGCTAGTGCTACAGGAGACTGGCTCATAGAGGGAATGGGATTAAAGCAGACATGTAGAACCGAAAAGTTACTCAGAACTTTCAGGCTGGCTTTCGATTGCTGCTTAAATGGATTACGCTTCCGCAATTGGCAACCCGGGAGGACCATCCTTCACATCACATTTCTGCACTTGTCGTCTTTGCGGAGTAGGCAGACCCGTGTGTGTGCCCATCAGCTGTGTGTTTCCCTTCTCAAGTTCTATATAATTTACATGCTTTTGTCCATTAAGTGAAGACATTTGCCTTTTCTCTGTGGCAGACCCCAGCCGCTGTGAAAATAAGTCTTTTCGCTCCACTGCCGTTGAAGGAGACACTTAAGCAGAGTGGCTTCAGACAATTGACACATTAAGTAGTATCAGGCTTGTCAATTCATCCACACAAGACTGCCACTGACCTCCCTGAGAGGAAAGCAGCCAGGTAGGCCCTTTTTACATAGTCTTTGCTTAATGGCCCTCATCCCTTCCAGACTTGGCCAGTGATGTTTGGAGAACCCTTGACGTCCCTGGCGGAGTACATATTGGAGAGGGGCTCCAATTCTCTCCTCTTGTTTCCTGTTTTCTGCTCATCACGTCACAACGCCCCAGGCACTCTTTTAATTAGCCTCCTTAATTAGGTGGTTTCTGGTTCTCTGCGCCAGTGTAAATTTTGATCACATTGTGGTGAGGAGATTTGCCTAAGAGTGGCTCGTGCAGCATGAGGCTTGGTTCATACTATGGGTGGCTCAAGATGCTGGAGCTGCAGACATGCCACTCGTGTGCCTTGGCATTCATGCTCCTCTTTGCTTTTTTTTTTAATGATTGTGCATCTGAAAGGTGCACTGCTTTAGTGGCATTAGAGGAAAATTCCCATCATTACATTTCCCAGAATGAAGAAAGAACCACTGAAATCGGCCATTTCTTCAAGTTTCTCTTTGTTGCATGGTAATCCTGAACATAGGCACTGCACTGCTATGAGCTATGAAATGTTTTTAGGGGTCCATGATCCTGTGTGTAATTGTTACTCCATAAAGTCGACTTGTGTCAGCGCCGATTCAGACCAAATCAGGTGGCCTGAAATATCACTGAAACAGGGAGCTATCCAGACGAAGCTCATGGACCAAACTCTTGATTCTCTCCCAGTTGAGTCCTTGATTTATTAGGTGTACCCATCTTTGATGACTGGGTCTGGATGGAAAAATAGTGATACCAAGATCTTCCTTTGGTATGTGTTCATTTGTTTTAGAGAGAGAAGAGAGTGTGTGTGTGGTGGCAGAGTGACCTAGAGAGTTAATGAGGAGAGGGAGCGCCGGTAGAGAAAGCTGGTGAATCAGAGGGGGAAAAAAAATTATTTTCTAATTGTTTAAGAGCGGCTAACTTCTAAAGCACAAATAAACACACTGCCTCACAACCCTGCAGCTAATCACAGCAACGTATGAATCCAGCCTTAAGCAGGAGCTGGCTTTACGGGGTGGAGGTTTCAGAAGTATTTTAATGTTTTGTGATTTTCAACATAAACTTTTAGAACGTGACAGAAAACCCACATCTCTCTGTTTTGATTATTTAGATTGTTAATGAATTGGTGGTTTTCATTTCACCTATCTGAACTATAAAATGTCAGAATTTCTTTTGAAAAAAAAATATCCAGCACAATTTCCTTAAGTCCAAGGGAAGGGATGCAGCAATTACTGGATTCCGCTGTTAACCGCGGTTTAAAACGTCACAGTTAATTAATCGTAAAGGCAGGGAACGGAACTGTTGCAACTTGCACGAAACAACAAAAACAAAGTTACACGAGCGGTGCACCAGCTTAAAGTGCCGTGCTCAGTGTTTCCTCTAGGATTTTTTTCAGCAGCAAGTGGAGGACAAAAAGAACCTCTAAGCCTTAACGGCAGGAAAATCCTGTTAATATGACCTCAGAATCATTATAGGTACGACTGTTCATGTTTGCCTTTTGTGTCTTCATTTTACAGCTTCTGACATTCATCTGTAGACCTTTAATATAAAAAGGACCTTCTGAGGTGCATTTTATTTGCACAGTAAAATCTAAAAAGAAACGTCTCCTCATTAGCTTAAAAGGACTAGTTTGCATCACTAATTAGCTTTACTAACCTCAGTTCCTCCAGTCACCTCCGTCCTTTCTTTTCCAAAACCACTTTTTCCACCCAGTATTTTCAATGGCTTGTGCCGCTCCACAGGGTTTGTTTCTGCGTCGAGCAACATGCACCGCATCGCTTGGCGAGCTCGCGTGAACGCCGCCGCTGTCAAAGTAGTTGAACTTTTGCGCTGAACCCAGCTTCCAGCACAGTGCAAATCGCTGCTTTTCTGAAAGGACCTTATAGAAGACAGAATGTAGTCCTCTCAAGACCTTCAGTCACTGAACATTTAACGTTACATCCTGTTGCCTCCTCCCGTCTGATGAGAAATTGTTGCCAGGTGTAAAACATTAAAATAACATCAGGAGCTTATAAACTTCCAGGACTACCAATTACTTGCATTTCAGTTATTAATAACATCATTTTCACAAAAATTTGTATGTATGGATGAGAGTTGATGACTAATAGTTCAGTTTATTCCCCTCCTTAATAACACTTTCCCTGGGGGAAAAATTAAGTTAATTTTATTATATTAATAGTACTTAAATATTATAGACATATAATTGTTAATGTATTTAAATATTAAAAATCAACTTAATTAATTACTAGTGTTGTTAAATTAATGCATAATAATCGTGAAACTGATTATTCCTCTGAATAATCACATCCAAGGTGATGACTTAATATCCCTCGAAAGCCCAGATATTCGGGTTCCTATCAAATGAAACTGAGAAAGCAGTTCCCAACTTAGAAGCTTTAATTAGTGAATGTATGACATTTTTGCTCCAGCAATTAATCGATTATCAAAAGTCTCAGATAATTTTTCTGTCAATTCACTAATCAATTAATCCATTTTAAATGGTAACTTCTGAATTGTTAACCCTGGGCCTGACAACATGGTCTCTCTCTGTAGGGATCCTTTCCACAATGTTATTGGACACTTATAACTATCTCAGCCTGTCGGTGGCAAAAACAAGCACTTAAGTGGACCTACTTTGACGTGGTGCAATTGCCCAGAAGGATTACATTGCAGTTTTATTTGCTTTGATTTTTAAAAATTGTTTTTAATCTATTTTATAATTTAATTGTGGTGTTCACATATAAACTGAAATATTGTTTAGACTACCAAATTGTTAGATGTAAATTTTAAATAAGAAAAGATATTAATTATGAAAATTATTATTAAAATACAAGGACTTTTGGTGACTCTTCATAGAGTTGTGATGGAGAGAACGTTTGACAGGAGAAACCTTGGAGGTGCAGAATGTTGTGAATTAAGACTTTCAGCATTGGGAGCATGAAAGAGAAGGGAGAAGTGCAGCAACACAGGAAGCGTCAGAGTGTGGGGTGGAAACCATAATGATCTTAATTGATTTAACACAAATCATCTGCACTCTATAGTATATACATCTTTGACAGCAGGAAACCTTTGGATTGCTGGCTCAGCCCTTTTCCTGGTTCTTATCACTAGAACATGTTCACTATAATGAATAGAGACTTGTACGTGGGAATGATCTGGATTTACATGTGTAGACTTTGTGCGTCAGGTTGCCTCTAGTTGTTTTTTGTTTTGTATTTTAATTAATATGGTTACGTGTGAAGTGCGCCAAGTGATGTCTGACATGACCAGTTTTTCATCTTGGTTTTATGCTAAATAGATTATCAAATTGAAAATTACCCAATCTTGAGCTATTACAGTGTTATGACAACAAATAATGGCTGTGTTTCATTTGCCTCTCCTTGACCTGTGGCCCCATGTGGTTCTTCCCCTGTGTACAGACATGCCCATATTTGGCCAGTGTCCCGCACAGGACGACTTCTACCTAGTGATGTGCAGCCACTGCGGACAGGTAGTCAAGCCTCAAGCCTTCCAAGCACACTATGGTAAGTGTCAAGCACCACGTGCGCATGCACATTGAGTCGTCTTTCATGTGAACACCGTGCAGAGCTAGCTTAAGAGTTTCTGAATATTCTAGATAACTCCATACACGAAAGATGGGAGTGAATGTGGACAGTAGATCAATGAAGAAGGAACTAGCAAATTAGTTTTCATCTCTTGGAACCATATGCCACTTCCAGGCTGGTGGTGATATTTCACACACTAACGCACACTAGTATTATCTCTCACTCCCCTTTGTAACACTTTGCCTTCTCCATGCTGTAACCTGAGAAGGGACACCACGACTTAGATTGATTTATTTAACTCACTGTGTCACATGTGTGTGTGTGTGTGTGTGTGTGATGTGTGTGTATATATATATATATATATATATATATATATATATAAATTTTTTTTTTTTTCTTTTACATACAGCTCCGATCAGATTTCTGCTTCTGTTCATACTTCAGGGATGTGTGTATGTGCTTTTCAGTGCACGGATTCCTGCTACTTGGTAATTAAGCTGGATCCTTGACTAGAGTGCTGAAATGGATCAATTTTAGATCTGTAAATATAGCGATTGCATCACTGTGGATCTTGACAGTGTTCACGGCAAGTTGACAAACGCCCACAGTCGCTGAAAGAAATAAGCCGTCTGTTCACTCCCAAACTCATTTCCTTGAAATGGTAAGGAAGGCGGCATGTTAGAGCGCGCCTATCGTGTCCTGTCATGTGGGGCTGTTTGTTTGCAGTAAGAATGTATATTTGTAAAGTTTTAATGGAGGACATGAATAGTTAAGGTCGGTTCATGTGGCCTTGTTATGACATGAATTTCATGGGTTCAGCCCTTGTTCGCATCAGTTGTTGTCTATGTGTATTGAGTTTCAGTCGCTGACTTATTTTCTCCATGAAGTGTGACATCAATTACAGTGGTCACGTTCATCCACAAGAGGGAGGTATAACAGCACATGGCTCTTGGAGTAACTGTCCTTGCAACTGTGTCAACAACACTCAAAGAGAGGACTCCTCCCGCCCTGCTAAACAATAGACTGTCTAGACCCGACTGTTGCTCATCAACGGCATAATCGTTTGAGTTGTCATACCTGCCTGGGAATTTTGAATGAGGAGTAAACAAACACGGGAGGGCATTTGGAGTAAAATCTCACTGACAGCATCCCAGCAGGAGGTATATCTTTAACAGGGTAGTGTTGTGAACGCAGGAAGCACTCAAAATGAACAGTTGTTTGACTAGTTTCAAGCTGTGTGTAGCGATTTCTTTTGTCAAGCTTTTCCACCATCTCCTGTATGCTTCTGACTTATTGTATAGATTAAATTAAACAAATTAACAAAGAAAAAAAACAAAAACAAAGCAGCTAATGGTGCCTCCCTTGACCCCCATTCAAGTAGGAGTTTTTAGCACCGGAAGATGACGGCAACTAATGGTTATTTTCATTATTGATTTAATAAGATAATCATTTTTCTTTAATTAATTGATTAACCCTTTAGTCTTGCTTTGTCTGACTAAAAGTCCAAAACCCAAAGATTTCCCATTACAATGGTATAATAGACAAAAGACATTTGAGAAGCTGAACTCAGATGATTAATATATTATTAAAATTCTTGCAGATTAATTTTCTGTTGCTTGACTAATTGTTTTAGCTCCACACCG